TAAGGAGCCTTTTCTGGGGTAAAGAAAAACTACAATTCATACAATTTAGATGAAATGAACTAGTGAAAACATCATGAGGATTATTCTACATTACATTTCTGCCAATAGATCCCTTTCGCCTAAATCTTACACACTGGACCTTTAAACAATAGCCAAGTGCCCATTTTAAGATTTACAGATGTTTACCTTCCTGTGAACGCTCTGTTATTGGCCATTAAAACATTCCTTCACTTTCAGAAGAGTTCAGAGAATAAACCTTGGAGTGCTTAATTCGATAGTATTGACATTACAACACTAGATACAGGGGAGAAGTGAAAACATGAGCAGCTCAGAAAAAGGTAGAGGACAAGTGGACCAAATGTATAATCTCACTAACAGTGAGGAACTGCTTCAAAGATTTAAGGTGAAAGGAAATTAGAAAAATGTCATCATGATTCACATAAATCTTAAGCTCTTCATTTAATCAGAGCTTAAGATTTATGTGAATTGAGTCATTTAATGCTATACAAACTGGATGAAACATCATGATTGACAGCTGAAAATGACTCACGATTGGTCGAGTGTGTTCAGCGGCAGGACCTTGAAAATAAAGTTCCATCTCTCCCAGGACATTTTGGCTTCATCTCTGGATAGTGGGAGGAAATTATAAGACAACTTAAGCTTTTATGTAAACATACAATTTTGAATGTGGAGCTCTTACTTTTAATAAATCATATCACACTGGTAAATTTACTTGAACAAATGATGTGTATATTCTCCCATCACTGCTCTGCTTTTCCACATCTTTAAATGTGGATTCATGAAATTCAATTAGATATAACTGGACTGGATTTTTTCTTCTTTTCAGCAGGCTGGATGTTTGGTTTTCGACAAAGTTCATCTGAGTTTGGATAATCTGCCCTTCAATGCTTAGGGGGGTCATCGCTAAATGAACTCGTTTTGCACACGAATTCAGGCAGTTTCTGAGACGGATAGATTAAAAAGAGAGTAAGAGGTTGAAAAACAGTTTAAGAGATTTGTATGCTGTTTTCTCCTCGCTGCAGCTTTGCTTGCTTCGCAGACCGTAGGCTTGTGTTGACACTCCAGGACATTGTTGTGTTTGTAATTGCATATGAGTCATTTCAGCGCCTCTAATTGTTCACTGATCAACAGGAGATGGAGCTTATATTTAAGCACCAGATAAAAACACAGATTATGTATTTTGTGTGTTTAAATTGAATCAGTAATTTTTTTTATTCATTTACTTATTCATCCTTTCACTCTAGGTTATTTTACACCCTTTGAGACCTCGCAGGTCCCAAGCTCAAGGTCGTGCTTGGGTGGTTGTGATCTGGATAATGGCCACCTGCTTCTCCCTCCCACATGCAATCTACCAGAAACTCCTAACCTTTACATACAGGTACCGTGAAATACTGCATCCTCACACATTTCAACAGGAGGGATCAGTTACATGGTTAAGTAACAGGGTTAAGTAACAGGAAAAGACTTTGACCGTTGGACTCAACACACTCTTTAAGAGTTCAGGCCCGTCTGCTGGTGGTGGCCGAAGCCAGGAGGTGGATAATGGAAACTCTGTTGTATCACGTTATAAGATGATATATACGATTAGACAAGTGAAGGTAAGATAAGGTAAGGAAAGGTAAACGGTAAGATAAGATAAGTTAAGATAAGTTCAGATAAGATAATATAAGATTATCATGTTAGCTCTGGATCACGTTGGGTTATGAGGAATATCAACAGTAGACATTTCAACAAATCCCGACTGTTTGCTGTCCTGGCTCCCAAATGGTGGAACGAGCTCCACATTGACATCAGGACAGCAGAAGGTCTTCACATCTTCTGCCGCAGGATAAAAACACATCTCTTCTTATTGCTAAAGAAGATGATGTCTAATAACCATTCACAATTTAATAAAATATATATCACTTACTTGTAGCACTTTGTAGTTTGGCTTTATTGAAGCTAATAATTCTTGCTGTTCTGGGTTTGTACCCTCACGGTTGAATGCACTTATTGTGTAGGTAATGTTATATAATGTAACATTTTATTGTCAAAATAATTACGCAAGAAACTGATCAGCATAATAACCTCTGACTAATCTATATTTTCTTTTGTCCTACTGTGATTGTTTTCACCAGTAAGGACGAGGAGCGCAGCCTGTGCGTCCCAGACTTCCCAGAACCATCAGACATCTACTGGCAGTACATCGACCTCCTGACCTTCATATTACTTTACATGCTGCCGCTCCTCATCGTCTCTGCCTCCTACACCACAGTGGCCTGTCGGTTGTGGCGCCACAACACCATCGGTGACACCACGACCGCTCAGCACGCCACCCAGAGAAGAAAGCGGAGGCGGACATTAGCCATGCTCCTTCTTGTGGTCGGGGTGTTTGCTGTCTGTTGGTTCCCACTCAACTGCTACGTGGTGCTGCTTTCCAGCCAGGCCATTCACTCCTCCAACACCCTCTACTTCTGCTTTCACTGGCTGGCCATGAGCTCCACCTGCTACAACCCTTTCATCTACTGCTGCCTGAATCCCACCTTCCGCCAGGAGCTGCGGCTGCTCTATGACATGTGCAGGAGGAGACAGAGGGTGGCGGTCGGGTTGGAGCCTGAACTTCGGCCCGCAGCCATCTGCGCTCCCTGTCGTAGGACCGCGTGGCCCGAAAACCACGAGTCCTCGGGGCAGAGGTGTAATTTACCAGAGCCGGGCCACGGCTCCTCACAGCAGAGTGGTTCCAGTCAGTCACACAACCTGAAAGAGACACATGTGATGTTCACGGCCAGACAGGTCATCACAGGAAGAACTGACATCCTGTCAGTGGAGCCCATCGTGGCTGTGAGCTGAATGAAGAAATGATAGCTGCCAAAACTCTCATGAGGCAAATATCAGTATCTGAGAATGTTAAGTTTGAGGATTTCTTCATGTCCCAAAGTCGACAGGAAATCTGAACATCAGAACAACAAAGGATTTTAGCTGCAAGAGAAGATGATTTTTGTGATGGATTTAAATAGAAAAAGAAGCTGGAGGCTGTAATCATCGTCTGAAGAGGGGCCTGAGCCCGAACCTAACTGGGAGGTAAAAATCAAATCAAAGTCAAAGGGAGCATCAACTGGTCTGCTGGACTTTTTCTATTTTTTGTGCATTGTTGTTCAAAAACAATGAACTCAGCTCTTAAAAACTGACAAAATAATCTCAAAGTCCATTTAACAGCTTTTGATTGTATCCATTGGATCAGCATCTGATCATTAAAAAGCATTTTAATGCTGTTACTGCATTGAGGAGGTGTAATGTATTATGAGACTATATCTTCATTAGACTTTTTAAACAGGGTTTTTATGTCATGGTCACATTTCAAAGGAAGAAATGTCTTTCCTTTGCAATGAGTTTATGCCAAAACACAGGCTACACAACAGAATGCTTTCATTCTGATGTCTTGATGTAACTGTGATTTTCTTTCTTTCAAAAGCCCCAACAGGCATGAATGATCCTGCTGGGTTTAGAACAAAGTCCATTAATCCCCCAGAATCTCATGCTCTGAAAGTGTGAGGAAAAAAATGTTTCGGTTTGCTCTGGAGGACAGAATCTCAGCAGCAAAGAAATCCTCTTCACATTGATCTACGGGTCATTTACAACCCGTCCTGCTGCTCGTACCTATTTCTGCTCCTCTTTGATTCCCTGTCATGGAGGGTTTGCAGAGCAAGCGCAAGACAGCACTGTGAGACACGTGCACGACACTCATTCTGGAGTTTTTATTGATGAAAGACCTCTCAGCACAGGCAGCAGCAGGGACACAGACACAAACAGCTGTAGTTTCCAACAGCCTCACAAAGTCATGGAGAAAACTCACAATCCATGTAGTAAACTGTTTTGAGACCCATCAATTCAGGTCCTTATCAGTCTCCAGTAATTGTTGTGTAATCCTTTCTCATTGAACTTTATAGCTGCTATAAATCCGCTGTTGGTCGGACCTCTTCCCTTTATTCGCCCCCTGGGCAAAATTGTATTTAAAAAAATTAATATAATACTAAAATACTGCTACTACTACTAATAACAATATTAATAATATATTATAATCATTCATCTGTCCAACTATCCAAAAAACAATGAATACAATAATAATAGTAATAATAATCCATCCTTTGAAGGTCACAGGATTATTATTATGTTACATGTTATTACAAGCATCTTAATGTCTCCAAGCACGGAAATGTATATCTTTATATTTTTGGCTGTCTGTGTGCTACTGAATTCATTCCAGCTTCTCTGCCTGATAAAAGTTGGCATCAACTAAAAAAAAATCACTAGCAACAAAAGAAAACCTTTCAGAATATGATTAGAGTAATAAAAGCTCAATCTTTGTTGCAGTGTCTGCAATCTGTTCTCAGATCAGAGCATAGTCTGGCTCCAAAAGCTGCAGCTGCCCCAATCTCACAAGGTCATTTTCGTTTGCATGACGTCAATTAAAAGTCAGGAGTGAGTCACAGAGAAATGTGCAGCGACTACCAGCGACCAAAAAACAAACCTGTCTCCATCAAATTATTATCATATACAACCAAACTGCAACAGCAAACAGGTTTTGTTTAAAAGTAACTGGAAACTGCTGCCACATGACTGGGTAATTGTACAATTTTATGAATAAGGAGCTGTGCAGGGTTTCCCAGTAAAATGGTTGTTTATTTTAGTTTACTTTTTATGGTATAGCACATTATTCTATATTTTATTCCCTCGGCAGCCCTGAGTTTTGTGAAGGGCATTTAAAACAATGGCTACACAGAAAGCAATAATCTTTAAAACGTATATTCAAAGACAGAACAGAACTGGGCAAAAACACAGATAGAGACATGAAAACTGCAAAGACGAATCACCTCTAAGTTTGTGGTCAGTATAAGCAGATTCTATTCTAACTATTCTATACTTCACTTATTCAAACCTTTTCATGTCTTCACAGATCTGATTCACGCAGACACCTTTTTGTTGTTTGTGGTTACGAAACTCACGAGGGAGCAAAGTACATTTCCAGGAAATCAGTGCATACAGAAATATGTGTACATGTGTGGAGGTTATTTGTTCTCACCAGCTAGTCATCTTTGTGCTATGTATTCCTTTTTCTGCCCTATAATCCTTTCTCCTTTTGAAAAGCATGGAGGAATCGGAAGGAAAAACATGAATTTCTTTCAGAGACTGAGAAAGAAAATTCAGGGCTCATTTGTACAGTAATGCGCAGCCCCCGAACAATGGACGTCTGATGGTGTTCAACCCAGCCCTGCATGGACAACAGTGACTGTACTGCAAATGGCTTTCACAGCGTCTCGACAGTGTGCAGTAAACAGGATCTAAAGCTTTGAGCTGAGGAGGAGGTTCAGTGTAATATGGGTTTTTCTCTGTTTCCACACAATCATTACATTGTTTCACATGAACGGAAACAGTATCAGCTGCAGAGCGGGCTTGTGTTAATGGGTTTTGTTATACACCTGTTGATTATATTTTAGAAAAACATTGTATAGAACAGTGTTCATTTTACACAGTGTGCACAACTCAACAAAGATTTTGTGTAATAATAACAACGGAAAACTAGCAATCGCAGAGCACATACCACCGCCAAGGCTAACGCCCTATCTAGCCATGTTAAGAAAGTGACAAAACTATTCCCAGAACCATGTTTATCTGGATCTGCTACAACATGTAGAAAGTTATTTCTTGGGTCATGCCCCACTCCTCCACAAAATCTCATGGAAATAGATTTTTTGTGCAACTCTCTAAACACAAAAACACATTTTGTGGTGTAAATGATGTCGTTTCGGGTTAAATATGATGTCGGGGCTTGCGGACACTTGGATGACACCACACCAGCAGTATGGAGGCATTTAATGTTTTTGGTGCTTTTTACGCCTGAAGAATTGATCACATTTACCTCAATTTTAGTGGATTTGGCTGGTTTACCCCTGAGACTCCTAAAGAGTTTTGTGGACTCAAACACTCACCCTGCCCTCCGTGGTCGGCATGGTGATGAGTTGTGAGTCAATAAAATTTTTCTTTTCTGTGAACTATCTGATTGAAAAAAAAGATGGTCTATTTCTCACCATGGTAACTAATTACAGTGTTGCTATTATGTTGAGTGAGCTCTGTTGTATTTCAAAGAAATCTGTGGTTGTTTTCCAGGAATGGCTCTGTTGAAAATTATATAAGTCTATCCTGCATATACCTGATCATTCAGCTGATCGAGCTGCTTGCTCCATGCCCTTGATCATCCATATTTATTTTATTTCTCCATGTAGTCTGAAAAAAATTAACAAATTTCATGATTCTGAGCATTGAGCCTCAGTGGTGAGTGACGAACTACATCCCCAAGTTTTGTGTTCATCTAAATGATCTCCGCCAAGATGTATAAAACAATAATTATTTTACATTTTGTGCACAAACCTCTGTAACTTTTGATTATGAGGGTCCTGAAATGCTTTGTGCTAATGGTACCGTCTCTTTGACAAAGATGTGATTTGTAAAAATGGATTTTGCATATTTTTCAGCTTTGATCCTTGATCCAGACTGACCTATGTCAAAATAAAACACAAAGTCATTCGTATCAGTTCTCCTGCAGAACTACAGCTTGGAATTTTAAGGACTATAAAACCACCTTTAACAACTTTTGAACATGACGGTACATCAATGATAAGTAAGCATTGTGTAAGTTCATTTGAAGAAATGTACCTTGTCTGCTACGCCCACCGGGGGGTTCTGCACATGCTCCCTGTTTTATCTTAGCACGCTGCTCAGCTAATTCAGGGAACATTCAAAGAATGAAGCCTTCAGCGCTAACTATATTCCCATTGTGCAATAAATGGGTAAATCAGGACAAAGTGCTCCTGACTGCACATGCAACCTTTTATACAGATTGCACTAGAGAAGAATTGGAATGGTTTAGAAAATTGACTTTAGCATTTTTCATAATTTTGCATCAAATTTAGGTTCCAAGCCTGTGTGCTCGGCACAACCACAGCAAAACATGTCAACATTCATGCAGTAAAAGCAAAGCTGATGTGAAATATGTAGGAACATTTTGTTGTAAATGTTTAATGTTGCTAGTGATAAAAATGATCCATGTCTCTTAGAGAGTGAAGCAGTAAAATATGTGTACATGTACATGTGAGTCATACATGTGCACCGCTATGTACAAGTTGTATTTAATGATTAATTTGCTTAATTTTTGGTTTATTTGTTGACATGAAATAATCCATAATGCAGTATCATGTGCTGTGTAAATGTAGTTTTATCTTCCAAACCTAATGCTTGAAGTTTAACTGTGTTTGTTCTTAGTCTTAAAAATGTTGTGGTGTGCCTGTTCTACAAAATAAAATATATGAAGTAAGAACAACTAGATGTGATTTTTTAACACTGGTTTCTACATCGTATACAGGGGAACTGCTTCATAGACAACGTCTTTGATTCTTATAAAAATTATTCTCTGTGACCAATTCAAAGTATGGATGAATATTTATGTTCACTCACCAATATAAAAATAATTTAAGATATACTAAGACATTGGTGGTCTCCTTCTATCTCTGCTTTACTTTTCCTCACAAGACAAAGTTTTCATTTATGTCCACTGTCTGTGAGTCTGAATGGGAAACAGCTTAGCACAAGTTGTAGGATTTTCCAGACCTCAGACTTGACCTCTGGTTAAGATGCGATCTGTACAATGACCAAAACATGGCAGTTTTTCTGCGCAATGTTATAACGTATATTGAATATTTGTGTAAGATTCTTTTCCTTCATATTGTGCAAGATGCAACACAAGACAGACAGAGATTCTCAGTTTCTGGTTAGTTCTTGACGTTGAACATCACTTG